GACTCGCAATCCTGAAATTTTGGATTCCCAAATTTTTCATTACTGCGATTGTTTGCGACCATTTTTTTTACGTGTTTTTTTTTTTTTTTTTTTTTTTGCAACGAAATTCTTTGTACGATAACAATTTTTATTTGGTAATAAATTTGGAAGTAATCGAAATTAGGAAATCCAACGAAAGTCCCCATAGAAATAAAAATAATTGTTTGTACTGAAAGTAAGGACCAACGTACATCAAACTGCCTTTAAATTAAAAAAAAAATTTAAAAATCATCGAAAACAATCGTAATGAAAACTTGCGAAACCAATATTTCAGGATTACGGGTCCGGATCCGACTCGGAATGTTTTTAATTTGCTCACAGAGTCGGTCTGATTCCAAAATGGTATGATATGTTGGGCTGTTGCCTCTTGGAGTAAAGTTAAAGACACGTACAATTTTATTTTGAAACTGTAATTTGAGAACGGTAATTTTTTTTCATTTGAAATGATCGTTAGAGAGTTGTGTCCCTTTAAGTTGAAAAAGCGTGACACAGTGACACACTACATTTGCATTTATTATATAGATGAATTGATGCCCAAATACACAACTATATACATTCTACTCCAGAACAATGTTAATCAGACAAACGTTAGTTATTTTAATTGTTGACATTGTATTCGGACAGTGAACATTTTTACTATAAATGTTATGCTTAGTGGATACGTGAGCAAACGTATCTAGTTTTGAATATTTAAAATAATAGCTACCGATCTAGAACCCGAAAATCACATTAAAGAGAATATGTGGTATAATGAATATCGGCTCGGAATGACAACTCGGAGAGCCGAGTTCGAATTCCAATCGAATTCGTTCCATTCACTTACGCACAAATAACTTTGGGAAATGTATAAATCCATCTCTTCTCCTCGCAGCTAGGGGTTGAATAGCAGAAAATACTGGGTCCTATAGCCTAGAGAGAAAGAAATGACAATCTAACGCAGGAAATCAAAAGACACATGCTCGCTCAAGCGCGTACCACGTATGGCACTTAACTGACTGACCTCTCAACGGGGATCGAATCTATATTGCTTTTAAATGTTGAATTTAAGAAAAAAATCATTTTAGATGCTTAGAAAAAAATAATGTTTACGCAACGCGTACGAAAATAACGTTAGCAGATATAGACCTCGAAATGCCCCAACGAGAAATGCGCCTTTCTTCAGTCAGGAAAGTGAACCTTACTTCGCTGTTATGACTTCTCGTAGCTTCATAGTAAAACACGCTTGGCTTGAAGGGGATTCTCCAAATTAAAGGGAATACAAGCTCTGTTCCTGTTGAGAAGCAGGTTTTCTGTGATAAGACGTTTTATCAATGGGACGGTGAATTGGTAGCTGATACGTCTTGAAATTGTTCTGGCACAAGGCCAAATTTATAGAGCATTTTTTGAGAATGAAATTCACTACAGGATTACGGGCCTAGCAGATGATGGAATAAATGAAACTTTTTCTTTTACATCTCTAATTATTTGGGGTGAAGGAACTCCTAAATTATTTCTGCTCTATTTATTAGCAGCCTTTACAAATTTTTAGAAACCTCTGGAAATGGACTTATTTTAAGCTAGCCTCAATGTTTATTTACCGTGACGAAATTGGGGAGTAATTCCACCCTACTCCGATTTCAAAAGAAAGAAATGACAAAAATAGATATTGTATAGAATTAAAATGGAAATTTGCCTGTCGTTTTTTATTTGTTTTTAAGAGAGTCTTTTGTAAATTTTATTATTGTCATGTCTGTTCATGTCGTGGACGATCATAAATCTCCATAGATTTTTCTTCATACAGTCAATTCCTGGTAGCTGATAAAGAGATTCTTATTTAAAATGATATGTCCCTACAACTCATAAGCGAACATCACTCTCCACAGCTTCCGTTTCTTTTTTGGTATCATGTCTATTCATGACGTGGGCGATCATAAATCTCCACAGATTTTTCTTCATTTAGTCAATGGTTGGCAACTAATTAGAGATTCTTATTTAAAATCATGTCTCTTTTGGATCGTTTGGTATCCTAATGTACCTTCGGATTTCAGTGACACATTTTCCGTCCTCCGTTAAAACTCTTCTCAGATATTTAAATTTTCCTGCTTACTTGATTTTGTTATCCCCAATTTGTAATTCGCATCTTGGGCTGTCCCTTTTGCTAACAACCATAAATGACTTTAAGAATCACGTGTTGGTCGTATTAAAGTCAGAATGGGTGAAATTCTATAAATTGTATCGACGCTTATTTGATTTTTGTTGTGAAAAGTTCATAAGTTCCTCACAAAAGTTATTCAAATCATATTACAATGATTCCAGGTATGAAAGATCAGAATTGCCAATTTTTTTTCTGAACACAGGTTTCTCTAAGATCTATAAGTAGTTTATAATATTATTACTTTTTTTTTTAACAAACTGATAGATTTGTACAAATTATGATGGAGGTATCTATTATTACATGAGGATAGAAAAGGAGGAACACTTGGTATTATCAATATTAAACCCTTGTGCAAATTAATTGAAACAAAACGAATAATTCCGTTATTATTTACTTATTTTCGTATTCTTTCCAATGAAACATGATCCAGTGAACATATTAGTACTTCGTATGTCCATTCCACGAAGTCGTTCCTTGCAGATTGACCACAGATTCTTGATTAGATTAAAATTAGGTGAGTTTCAGGGCCAGTCTATAGTTTGCTTACTGGTAAGGCTTACCAGTGTGTTCGTGAAGCGTTACAATTTTCGTATGCTCCCTTGGAGTAACGTCCATCGCAGAAAATGGCTGTAGGAAAACTAATCGACAGTCTAGACAACAGTGTTTGGGCGTGATAAGAATCTGATGCCATCAGCGATGACGCAATATTTTTCAACGCCAAATTTCATCATACACCCTGACAATAGATTCATATTACTGCACACCATTGCAAATGACCTAATCTGGGGAAAAAATAGAAATCGATTACACCCTGTCACTCCAGTGGGTCTAAAGCTGACTGTATGGTGAAAGAAAGAAAACTAAAGCGACTGTTTCAATTAATTTGCACAAAAGATAGTGCTGTGTTTGAAAATCTCTTATTTCATCTACAGCTGTATAAATAAATTGGAATATAATTTACAGGCTTAATTTACTAAGCTTAATGATATATAAAAAGATATTGACATTCCCTAACAACCACTTTATACGTTTTTTTATGCCATGTTCCTTCAGAATACAGGTGTTCAAGTTTTTCTACTTTCTTTAGTATCTGTGAATTTCGATGTTTTACTGAGAATGACAGTAACGTGGTTTTACATTGCATTCACTATAATTTTGAATTCAGAGTAGTCTTTCTATTAGAATGGTTGGCATTCATGGCTAAAAAACCCAGTCTATCCTGCTATTTAAGTCAAAGCTAGAAATGGATTCATACTTTTCCTCAGAGCATTTGTGCGAATGTGAACGCAAGAAACTAAGAAGTAATTTAGATTTGCCAATTGCATTTTCTAGATGGTGACAGTACTTGTAATAATATTATGAAATACAAAATTTTATAGCTGTACCACAAATCTATTTTTATATTGTCTCAGGTTTCGCATTTTTTTCAGAAAAAAATCTATTTTACTTGATAGATTTTAAAAATATTAGTTAACATTATCAAAGGAACTCCTGCTGTATTTGGGCCTTTCACTGGAACTTAAACAACACATTTAGTGATAGGTTCGCCTTATATAGTATAGTTCGCCTTATTGTAAAGGTAATAAATCCGTTGGTATATAATCCAAGTGGATCTTCGTAATATAAAATATTAAAACTGATCCACAAAAAGAGCTCAATATATATTACAGAACAAATAATTAATACACAATAAAATCCAAAATCACCCCATATAAGGCATAAGCTTATTTCAACCGACGAAATTCGTCAGTTGAAATAAGCTTATTCTCCATATGAGGTGATTTTGGATTTATAATGCATTATATATATATATATATATATATATATATATATATGTATATATAATGAGGTATTTAACTGATTGTGTATCCCTAACCTACTTTTCAGATTCACTTAGCTTCAACGTTTTTGTTTTGTATTCCCACCAATTTTGCTTGATAAATTTTTCAAATGTCAATTGACAATGTCAAAGAAACTGTTGATAAAGTCAGCTATACTCGAGCCTTTCATAGCAACTGAAGCGACACATTTAATGTCAGCATATTACACATGGGACCTGAATGTTATTACTTATTAATATCCATTAGCTATTTCTAAAGAATTGTGAGTTCGATTGAGGGAAATAAAAGTGATAGGCTTGCAGGTTTCAGGTATCGACAAGCCTGATTATAAAACCTTGGATATTTGAATCCATAACACATCACAAAAAAAATGCATATATTCGCCTCCCGTGATTGATGAAAAGTGAAAATAATCAGGAAATGCAGTTGAGTATAAAATGTAAAAACAACCGTAACAAAAAGAGTGTGATAACACAGGAAATAAAACAAAACCTATTTGTCTATTGTCAATATAAGTGATATTCTACTCGACGAAAATGCGTACGCTGATTCCAATTTTTTAGCCAGACTTGTTCTAGCAGATCTGGATTTTGAGATAGGCATATAGCATATTTATGTTCAAAGTAAATATTATCTCAATACAGATTAGCCATTACCACTCGGTAAGTCGAGGTTTACGGTTACATCATATTGAAACACCGGTTACCGTGTGATCAACAAGTTAAGCAATATCGACTCTGGTCATTACCTAGATGGATAACTGTTTGGGAATACCAGATGATGTAAGCTTCGTTGTGCGACTGGTGTAATGAATAGTGGCTCAGAATTGTTAATCAGAGAGTCGAGTTCCTGTACGATTACCGAAGTTAAGCAAAGTCGAGCCTGGTCAGTACCAAATGGGCAACCACTTGGAAATAGGTGCTGTAAGCTTGGATGTGTGGGTGGTGTAATGGATAATGGCTCGGAATTTTTAATTAGAGAGTTAAGTTCCCATACGATCACCGAAGTTAAGCAACGTCGAGCCTGGTCAGTACCTAGATGGGTGACAGCTTGGGAATACCAGGTACTGTAAGCTTGGATGTGTGGGTGGTGTAATGGATAATGGCTCGAAATTTTTAATTAGAGAGTTAAGTTCCCATACGATCACCGAAGTTAAGCAACGTCGAGCCTGGTCAGTACCTAGATGGGTGACAGCTTGGGAATACCAAGCGCTGTAAGCATGGATGTGCAGGTGGTGTAATGGATAATGGCTCGGAATTGTTAATCAGAGAGTCGAGTTCCCATACGAACACCAAAGTTAAGCAACGTCGAGCTTGGTCAGTACCTAAATGGGTAACCACTTGAGAATACCAGGTGTTGTAAGCTTGGTTATGTGGGTGGTGTAATGGAGAGCGTCTCGGAATTGTTAATCGGATAGACGAGTTCTAATTCCAGTTAGTCCACTAGCACGCAAGGGGTTACAGAGAATGGGAGCAAGAGTAAAGAGGCGTGAAAGAGGAAAGGATGAAGAAAAGAACGGGGAATAGATCAAGACATCTGGAGATGTCGATTGACATTGCATTTGAATAGTTGGAGATTATTTATTTCAATCATCCTGGCTGTAAAGACGTAAAGTAATCTCATAGAATCGTGATGTCTTCTATTTCTGTAACCAGTGCTAGGTGATGTTCATAGCAGTGTTTGTTAACATCTTTTCCAAAGTATTCTCACATTGTCCAGTGTAAATACTGCCCCACTCTATCGTGATGATTTTTATATTCATTTGGCGCAAGTACAGAACATCATTGTATTAGATGGTCTGCAGTTTCCTGTTATTTGTCACAGAACATGTATTTTAGGGTCACACTATTATGTACGACATTTGCCTGAAAGTTCCTTGCGAAAAGACTCTGGCCTTGTACAGCAAGAATAAAGTCATCCGTTTCAGCCAAATGTTCGCAACCATCGATAAGTGTTAACTTTATCAACATCGGCTTTATTAGCCTCGTTCTGGATATTGGTCATGCAGAGGTTTGTCTTGCCAGCATCGTTTTATCTGTTCAAGAGCTTTATTCTTGGCTTTCTTTTTCATATTTTTTGTTGAAATAGTTGATTCTTGGTTTCTGTTTTTCTACTAAATAAAAATCTCGTTCTGTTTTCGTGTTGTTTGACTAATTGTATCATCCAGTCCTTTGTTGTTTCCATGTATGTTAGTAAGCCAATAGTTGTTGTCTTTATGACAATTCTATCTGAATAAGACCCCTTCCGCCATCTTTAAGACGGTCTGCATCAGCCATTGGATGATGCACGTTATACTTAGAAAGAAAACTTCATCAATTAGAATCAATTCGTCTGATGTCATTTAGAGTTCAGTTCAAGATGCTGAAAGTATATTGAACCACTGAGATAGCAAGGCTATTAATGTCCATAATTCTATTCTGAGAATTCAATTCAGTTCTTAATACCAGTTGCACCCATCTATAGTACTCTTTTCGCACTATTTCTTTCATTTTTTTATGGTGAATTCCTTCACTCTCATTTACACCGAGGTACCTATAAACTTCTTGTTGTTCTAAATCTTTGATTGTTACCCCAGGATCTAAGCTAATAGAAGAGGTTTGTTGTAGGGATCCTCGTAAAATTATGACTTTAACACATTTATCCAAGCCGAATTCCATTCCAATGTCGTCACTGAAATATTTTACTGTTTTCAGGGAGCCTTTCAGTTCACTGTCATTCCTAGCATACAACTTTAATTCATCTATTTAAATAGATGGCTTATTTCATTTTGAAATATAGCCGTATTCCGTCCTGTTAAGATCGCTGGTTAATGCTATTAGGGATATACAAAATAGTAAAGGAGACGAGTCACCTTGAAATATTTCTCTATGGATGTTTATTTCACCAGTCATATAGATTCCATTAATATGATTGAGGTGAAGTATTGTTTTTCATATCAACATGCTTTGAAGAAATTGATGCATATATTTAAAGACTTTAAGATCCAGAAATCAGGTGCACTATCGAATGACTTACGATAATTTATTCAAGCAGTACTGAGATTTCTTCTTTTAACTGAAGCAGTTTACTTAGATCATCCTATTAGTATCTCATTTGTTTCTAAGAAGGAATATGTGTTTTGTCAAAATACATGTCAACAGTTTGTAAGTAGTGGGAAGACATGTAATTGGTCTGTAGTTTTTTGGGACATTTGTGTCACCATTCTTGGATAGAACGAAGGTAATTCCTTTTGTTACCCCTGCCTGAATTCTATTATTATTATTATTATTATTATTATTATTATTAGTAGTAGTAGTAGTAGTAGTAGTAGTAGTGTGAGATGTGTCTTAATGAAAATATTGAAATGTTAATTTCCTTTATAAATCTTCTATGTAATGTAGAAATCGAAAGTAAATTATAAATTTTAATTCTTATTAAGCTAAATTTGTTAGTGAAATTGTCCTTTTCTTGGAAATAAAGGACTTTTGGATAATTTTTGTCGTAGCATTTCTAACATTTTTTTACATTGCAAAACTTACAGGTTGCCCATCATTAATCCGGTAATTTCTAATCCGGTTCAATCAGTAATCCGGTACCCATTTCTATTAAAGCAATTTTAGGTTTCCCGTGTCACCACCGCCCGAATCTTCCACAAAGATTGGTGACACAAGTTGCTTCATCAGCTGCATCTGAGGACTTATTGACACTGTCAAAGTATTTCATCTTTTCTTTTGTGCATTTTTATTATAACCTGCTGGCGTTTTGTTCCACTTATGACTCCAATAAACACTTTGCATGGTGTGAAGTGCAGTGACAGCTAAGGTAAAAGTTAACTGGGTTTCTTTTTCCTTCATTACCTAACATGTACTGATTCAAAAGGTATTTTAAAAGTAAGATGAACTGGTTAGCTGTTGGACTAAGTGTATTCTAACGTAACCAACAATATCTGGCAAAATCACTTATCAAGCACCGACAGATCCCAATAATGTTAGATTAGTAATAGTCAATCTATAGCATATTAGTTCATTTATAGTTTGTCGAAATTTCTTAGACTCAAGGGTAATCAAAGTCGATCCGGAAGTAAGTGGTTGCGAAACACGCCTAGTCTCGCAACCCAAATAATAGAAAGCAGAGCGCGCAAAACAACACTGTACACGTAATATCCTTCTCAAAAAATAAAGAAAGATACTGAAAGAAAGAGAAGGCAGACCTTAAATAACAAAGAGCAGATCTGCGCATGCCACAACTTCCGGTAACAAAAGACTGCAAAATCAGTGCTCTGGATCAGCCTCGATTTGATAAACTAGAATCTGTCAACCACTCAGTTTCCACGTCCGACGGCCGTCTTATAAGTGCAGGTAATTTCACTTATTTTTCCACAAGTTTTAACTGGTTAATTCACTCTTTTCAAAATCAGAGTTGGTGTGAGTAATGCCTTCTCGATGATTGTATGTTTGGAGTGATTGGTTAAAAACATAAGTATATACGGCCCTTGCCTTAATGTGATTCAGTAGAAGGGAGTTGCTTCAAGCTTTTTAGTTTGGATAACAACAGCAAAAATGTTCACTTCCACAAGGCCCATCTCCCTAGCCAATACTTCTCCCACGGGAGGGGGCTTGGGTCAATCAATGTCATCTCAAAAGGAAGTAGATGCTTAGGAGAATAAAGTGCATTTGACTTCTAGTTCGATATATGTATGAAACTACTACTTTAAAAACTGCCGTGCGCTACATTCTATTTAACTGGGTATGCAAATAAATACTACTTTGAGCAATTTAACTTGAAACAATACAAATTAGTCTAGTCTCAGGGAACCTATGTTCCGGGCAATAACTGTTTCCCAGGAGGGAGCTTGGGTTAGTCTCTGACACTTCAGGTATCTCGAAAAGTGGCAGTGCCGGTCTCGTGTACTGTCTAGGGTTCTTACTTTAAATTCAGCTTTGTACCACATCCCATTTTAGAAGTGAATTGTTTTTAAGCTTTTTAGCTTCAAGAAACACACATTAATTCAGTCCCAGGGGTACCACACTTCAAGCAGTACCACTTCATTGACAGATGGGTCAGGATTAACTCTTTGCATCTGAGGCAACCCTTAAAAAGGGAAATACTGAGGAAGCTGGACTATTTTGGGCCTCTGGACTCATGTACATGTGAGACTACCACTTTAAATTCAGCCTTGGGTCACATTCCGTGTGAGTGGGTGTTTGGTTAAATAATTGGGTGTGAATTAACGAAAGAAGGAACAAGCACAATTATTATATGACTAACCAAATCCCCATCTTATGAACATTTCTCTTAATAATAACTTAAAAATAATTAAGCAGACAAATGTTATTTTATTTATAGTAACTGGGTTCTTTGGCAATTACCTCTTTCAGTTTTCATTGCTCGATACTGTACATCTGAAAAAAAAATGGCACTTTTATCACAGTCGCCATAATATCACGACGTTTTGGCTAAGACAAAGTGTAATTTCTGTTATGATTAGCTTAATAAAATTCTCTCTCCCCAATTCTAACCTCCTTAGTTTCTTCCACTTTTTTTTTTCACTGAAATCAATTTGTGTTTTCCCCCCTCTTTCCTTGCAAACAAAACAGGATGGTCCATTTGCGAGGTGTTGGCAGGACGTAATGGTCGTGCAAACTAACAAAAGGAGGGACTAGCACAATTATTACATGATGATACTAACTAACAGATATTTGGCAAGCATCCATTTAATTATTTGGAAGACAAAGATTTTCGTTTTGTATCAGTTGCTATTGCTTAAAATCCATTGAGACATCAAAAGTCTAAGGGTTCACTTTTCTCCCTTATCACTGAGACAAAGCCGCAAATCTAGATTATAAAAGATCTGTTTCTCTACTCACCACACACTGTCTACATGTGACTATGCAACGTGTATGTGGATATCTGTGTTTTGTTTTGCATGAGTTACTTATCTGCTCTTGTGCCATTTAATGTATGCACATGCACACATACACATTCATACAATTTGACTTAGTTTGATATAAGACATTAGAATAATACATTCTCCTACCACTCAGTCTGAACACCCTTTACCCTGGGCTGAGCAACAAAATCATAAAGTTGGAGACAAAAGAAAAAACATATAATCAGGTTCACACCATACAAAGCAGAAAAGCAACTAAGACCCAAAGGGTCTGGAAGAATTAGGGACAGAAACATTAATAATGAGAAGGAAAAGAATAGAGTAATCAGGAGAACAGTCTACTGGGAAGGAAAGGGAATTGTAGAAAAATCACGTGGTCGAGATAAACACTCAGTTGTGGAGCAAGCTAAGTGAATAATAATCCAACCTTTAGAAAGAGAGCTATTTATGGTGCCATGGAGCATCTCATTGTGCTAAAGTGGGATAGTCCATTG